CCTGCCTGTGATGAGTTTGTGTAGCCTCAGCCCTCAAGGGAGGTGTTTGGGGACCCCTGAGCCAGGGGGAGGAGCAGGAAGAGGGTCACCACCTGCCATGCTGGAGGTGGGAAGCTGAACGGAGGAAGCCTCATCCCATATCCCTGCAGTCACTGGGGCCACTGACGTGTGTTGTCACCTGTGGTCGTGATGGCAGCAGAGCAGTGGCCTCATGCCAGTGGGGACTGGGACGACGTGGCCCCCAGCCCTGCGCCAGTGCCTGGCAGCTCCCGGCCTCCAGCACACTCCCAGCATCGATGGAGCCGTCACCGGTTTATAAATAGCGTCTGGGCAGAGAGTGCAACCGCGTTCCCTAAAAGCCATGTGGTTCCAGTTAGAGGATTAATTGGAAACGCTTATTTTGATTTTGCAAAGTGATTGGATTTTTCCAGGGCATTTTGAGAGGAAAAAAGTCTGAATTTAATTATCACCAGTCAAAAAAAGCACCATGGGACTGAGGGTTTGAGGCCATCTTACGTTTGCTTCACACCCCACTCTGAAAGGCAGGCAGGCTACAGGGGGACATGGCAGGGATGAGGTGGGGACATGGGGATGCAGTGGGGATGGTCCCTGTGGAGACTGAGGGGACAATCACCACCAGTGCACTACAGCCAGGCTGTGACATGCGGCACCATCTGCCCTTGTATGGTTCAGGCAGGACAACGGCTCAGGAGGAACCATGTCAACACAGGCTGGGCTCAGGTTTGGAGGGCTTCCCTTCACCAAGTTGCTTTGATTTTACCAAAATGGATTTTCAACAGTAATTGCCTTTTCTTCTTCTTCTTCTTCTTCTTCTTCTTCTTCTTCTTCTTTTTCTTAAGGAAAACATCATTTTCAATGACATTTCTCCAGGTTTCCATTGAAAAATTAAAAGCAAATGCTCTTGCACGCTGGCAAAACGTGGAAAAATGTCTAGGAATATTTTTGTCCAAGTGAAAACAGTTTCAGTTCTTTTTCAAGATCTCTTTTTTTTTCCTGAAAAGAAACCACAGTTGCCTTCCTAGTTATTCTAGTCAGACTGGTTTCAAGACAGACTTCCCAGTTCAGGGCCTGGAGCTGAGTTGATGATGCTGTGAGGCAGACATGTGGGGCTTTCCAGCAGCCTCAAGCCAGCACTGTTGCCACACTTCACACTGCTCAGACTGTTGGGGTGCACCATGCTGGAGTCACTCTGCCCCATGGATGCTCCATGCTGGAGGCTGGAGCTGGCAGGATGTCAGCTGAACCCCACATTTATGGGCCGATCTGGGACCCAGGCATTGCACCCCAAAGCCCTCCTCAATCACCTTCACCTTGTGCCCAAAGGCCATGGGGTAGGGAATGGCCACCCCAGCCCCACTGTTTGCTCTGGTTTGATTTTCCCATGCATTTGTGCCCTTCACACAGGAATCAAGGTAACAGATGGATCCAGTGTATCCATCACGGATGAGCCCACACGGAGTGCTGGGATACAGGATGCAGCCTCACAGGGTGCCTGGCTGCAGCAAGGGTCTGCTCCCATACAGAGAATCCCTAAATTCCCAGGAAACCCAGAGTGCCTCCATCCCTCCAAAACACCTTTATTTGGAGGCCTTTTTCTGCTTTGGGACTGAGAGTTGCGTGGGGATAGAGGCATCATGGTGGATACAGAACAAGGAGGCTGCGGCTGTGGGAGCCACTGGCTCTGCACATGCCAAATTCCTGCCAGGCCGGAGGAAGTGGACTACAAAAAGCAACATTAAACATTATCGCTGGGCTGAGATTTGGCTTGGCTTCCCAACCTGTGACGCTGCCTTCCCACTCCTTCCCGCTTTGAGTGTACAACCAGGATGCCCAGGCAGGTGGGGAGCACCAGTGAGCGGCTGTGGGTCTCACCCTGGTTCCATGACAGTTTACCTGCCTGTACGCTGGGGCTGGAGCCTTCCCTGCTGCCTCAACCTCAGGGATACTCCTGTAACAGAGCCTGCCCATGCAGCACTCATAGAATCATGGAATCATGGAATGGTTTGGGTTGGAGAGGACCATAAGCTCATTCAGTTCCAACCCCCTGCCACAGGCAGGGACACCTTCCACTAGAGCAGGGTGCCTGCAAGCCCCATCCAACCTGGCCTTAAACACTGCCAGGGATGGGGCAGCCACAGCTTCAAGCCATGTCCCAGCCATGTAAGTGGATGCATGAACCTGAACCTCAGCACCTGGGCCTTACTCCAAAAGGCACAGAAACGTTACTTAAAAAAAAGATGCAGGATCTAGCAGGAAAATCCTCCCCCGCAGGCTTGATCTGCTCCAACTGCCACTGATGGCTGAACGCCAGCACGGAGCCATGCCTCAGTTTCCCCACCCAGGGGAAACTCAGCAGGGGGGTGGTAATTCTTCTGCAGCTCCATGGGAATGGGAGAGCAGGGACAGATCCTGCCTCCAGCCACAGCAGGTGAACACCGAGCCCCTTCTAGACCCCAAGACTGCTGGAGGTTTGGGCAGCAGCAGCCAGGGGAGGAAATGGCCCCAGCCCTGAGAGCCAGAGGGTGTTTGCTGGTGCTGTCACATGGCTCCTGCCACATATTTACACACCAGAGCAAGCCAGGCCTGGTCACAAACATGGTGCCACTTGGGTAAACACAGCCATCAAGGGAAGAGACCCAGGAAACAAATATAGGGGTAAAAAGAGGGGAGGGAAAAAAGAAAGAAAGAAAAAGGGAAACAGGGATAAGGGGGGGGAGGTGGGAGGAGAAGAGAAAAAAAAGAAGGGTAAATAAATGAAAAAGGAGAAAAAAGGGGGGAAAAGGAATATTGGGGGAAAAAGAAAAAAGGGGGAAAGGGGAAAAAGAAAAAAAGGAAAAACAAAAAGGGAAAATTAGGGAGAAAAGAAAACAGGAAAAAATGAGGGGAAAGAAAAAAGGGAAGTAAAGGAAAAAAGGGGGGAAAGGGGGAAAAAGAAAAACAAGGAAAAAAGGGAGGGAGGGGGAATAAAGGAAAAAGGGGGGAAAGGAAAAAAGGAGATGAGGGGCAAAGGAACAGAAAAAGATGGGAAAAACAGGGTGAAAAAAAGGGTGAAAAAGGGAAAAGGTTAAAAAGAAGCCAAGCAATTGCCTTAAAAAGTACTTTCCATTGCTTGCTGCAGAACAGCCAAGAGAAGTGCCGGGAGCCCCATGTTTTTCGTGTAAAACAATTGAATCAGCAGCGCAGCAGCCGCAGGCACGGACACAAAGTCCATTTGTCACCTTTCTAGCCCAGGTGCTGCTGTTGGGCTGGTTCTGGGCCAGGCAGAGCATGTGCCAGCCGCTGAGCGCTAGTGTTGGCTCTGCAGGGCCCGCTCTGATATCTCCGTAGGCAACACAGGGAGGGAACCACCTCCATCCCTGGCATGGTGTGCAGGGGGGAAACTGAGGCACGATGGCGAGGTGCTAAAGGGGATGGCTCATCCCTCCACCACCTGTGACCATGCCACTGCCAGCCCCTCCTTCCAGTAATTTGGGGTTTACAAGCAAAATCTAGACCAGGGCAGTGAAACATCCATCATGTGTGTGTTTGTGCGCATGCATGTACCTCCAGCACCCTCTTCCCAGGGCAGACCCCACGGAGGTGCCTAGTATCCAGCATCACTTAGCCCAGCATCACTCACCGCCACTGGGTTGCTGTTGACATTCAGCATGAGGATGCTTCCCCTGGGGTGACTTTTGTGGGGGCTGCCACAGCACCCATGTATCCCCTAGGTACTGTCACATTCCCTGGAGAGCTGGGCAGCACAGCACCCCTTCGTGCCTGCTCCATGGGATACTTGGCTCCAGGATGCCATGAGCCTACAGGCAGTGTGTCCCCCACTCACACAAGCGCCAGCACCACTAAAGCCAGTTTTTCAATCCCCTTGGCCAAGCTGCCCAGTCCCCCTAATAAAACCCCAAAAATAATAAGGACATGGAAAAATCTGTAATATCCCTTTCCAGCTTCTTGGATTTGGCTTTTGCTAATTCAAAGCAGACCCTGGAGGGGAGTGGGGGAAGTCAAATCAAATCAGAATCATGGCACAGAAAAGCCAGATTTCACAAAAAACACCCAACATTTGAATGCAGCAGGGAAGAGAAAAGGAAAAGAAGTTTAATGTGTGCTTAGAACCAAACGAGCAGTGGTATCATTTTTAATTAGGAGCCTGTTTTCAAGGCCCTTATTCCTTACAGCACGCTCAGCAGCCAAGTCCTTTCCCTCCCTTGTAAAATCGTGGCAGGGGAAGGGGAATGGAGCCCGTTGCATAGCTGCAGAATGCGCCGCAGCGGGTGTTTGCGCCTGTTTAAACTCAGCCCTCAGATTCGGTGCAGCCCCCAACTAGCAACTGTGTGTGAGAGTTCCTAAACCTTTCTTGGGAAAAGGACCCCTCACCCGACATTCCCTGTGCGTGCACCTCCGGTTTGCATTACTTTAGGATGCATCTCTGCGTGCCAGCACAACTGGAAGCTCCTTCTGGAAAACTAATAGAATTCTTTGCTGTTCCCTTCAAACTTTCTCCTTGACAAATTCCAGCTTGGTTTTCTTCTATGGCAAACAAAACCCTCAGAGAAACCATTTCCTACTGCAGCAAACGCCTGGTCCCAAGGCTGCTGAAGGGGCCGGGTTGGCATTGTGGGAGTGTCAGTGGGAGCAGGTTGCTCTTGCTCCTTCCCCGTCTTTCTCTTTGCTTTAGCCGCTAACTCAAATCCCCCCATGACTCCTCCCCATCCTGCTCTGATTCCTAAATGCTCCCTCTGGCCACCTGTGTTCTCCTGAGACCCCAACCCGAACCCACCTAGGACTGGGGGACCCGCACCCATCACTGTCTACTTACACTTCCTGCTCCCCAAAGCCGGTGTGAGGCTCCTCCACCCTCACCCCCAGCAAAGCCATGGTCAGGATAATTTTTGACCTTCCTCCCACCCTTGGGTGCTGCTCCTATTGGCACATGGGTATTTCGGGGACCCCCGGCATCAGAGTGCCACTGGGTGCAGTGCGTACCAGAGTTGAGCCAACGCTGCTGTGCTAAGGAAGCCATAGGGGTCATGGCACTGATCCCACTCCCAAAGCTAAGTTTTCCCCTCTTTGGGACCACGGGGTGTCCACACTGAGTAGCAAGACTCCATCTCAGTGCCTCCATCTCAGTACACCCATCCCAGAGCCTCCATCCTGCTCAGGGAGGGCAGTAGCACCACAGCTGGATTTGAAGCTATTTGGCAGCAGTGAGGCTGATGCACATGGAAAAAGGCAACAGTCCTCCTTTTTAATGTGAAGAAACCAGCTTCCAGCTCTGGGTCAGTTTGGGGTGATTGGTCAGGCATCCGTTGCAGAGGATGCAAGAGCCAGGGAAGAGCCACCAGCTCTGGCTCCTCAGGAGTTGGTTTCCAAAAAATCCAGGGGGGAAGAGGTGATGTTAGAGCTGATGGGAAAAACACAGATGGGGGGGGGGGGGGGGAGAGAGAAGGGAAATGGGGAATTGTAATTTTTTAAATATCTAACCTGCAGCTAAAAAAGAAACCCCAAAAAATTAAAAAGCCACAGCAAAAAATCCTAAAACCCCTTCAAGCAGGATAATTCACTGCAACCTGCTGGCATTTTTTAAACTGAATTTTCCTTGCCAGCAACAGCACACACACCAAAAAAAAGAGAAAAGTCCTTTTTCATTGCACGTTTTGGCTTTGAATTGAGCTGGGCCAGACCTCTGCCTGGATGGGACCCAGGCCAAGAGTCATATGCAGGAATAAAGTAAATAAATTCTGGTCAAAACCAGAATATTCTTCTTAAAAGTGACTTTAAAAGCAAAGAAAGACAGCAACAGAACTGTCCCGACACTGGTTATTTCCCTTTCTTTCTCTTGTGCTGATGGGGCTGCAGTCCTAAGCGCTGCATCCAGCAGAATAGGACCTTGGATAAAAACCCTGGAAAAAAAAAGGAGGCTAGAAATGAAGCAAAAAGGGATAATGAGGCTGGGGGATGTTTTCTATGGGGATGGGAGGGTTTCCCAACCCAAAGATCTGCATCCCCTTGGCTGAGCCCAGAAGCTGGCATCAAGGCATCTCAAAGCCCAAAGCAACCAGGAAACACCCTTTAGAAATAAAATGGAGCTTTGAGGAGGGGGCTTGGGCTCTGGCCGATGGACACCCACTGGGTTGGGAGCATGGGGTGGTGGGGAGCAGCCTGAGTCCCCACAATGTGGTCTCTCACCATCCTCTTGCAGCAGGCTTGCACAAACCCATGAGGAGAAACAGACCCAAACCTCAAATCCCCCCCTCTGTGTTTCTCTTTATTTGGGGTAGCAGAGATGACCTGCACGGAAAGATTAAATGGGGTTTGGATTCTCCCCTCCCCCAGTTCTGTTTACAGGCAGCCTTGAAACAACAACAAAAAAAGGATTATTGTATTTTTAGTGTTATTTTTAGTGTTTTTCTATCTGGGGTTTACACGAGGAACTGGGGGGGCTGCAGGGAACTGGGGCAAGAGGGGACAGAATGGCAGCAGGTGTGCAGCTCTATGGCTAGAACAGCCTGGCTGCAGCCCTTAACCTGCCTGCATCCCACAGCTTGCCTGTACCCCATAGCCTGCCTGCACCCCAAGGCTCCCTTTCGCTCCATGGTAACCGGGTGCAGGTGCCAACATTTCAATCCCTGGGTCACTGCAATTATGCTTCATGCAGGATCAGTCCCTGGGCCTCTCACTGAGACAGGAGAAATGGGATTCATCCAGTGGGACATGACACATGCCTGCAGGCTGCTGGAAACCCAACATTTCAGCCCTTAAACTCCAGCTGTGATTCACCCAGGAAACACTTTAACAGCACCACGAAAACACAGAGCTAAGGCAGAACTCCCCTTCCCGCATCCCAGGCCCTCAACAAGTGACAATAACCCCCCAGACCTGCTCTTCCTCCCTGCCATCACCCCACTCCTCCTCACCAGCCTGGGACCACCAACCAACCTCCCACTACACGGAAGCTGAATGTCCACGCCCCCCCCCCCAGATCAGAAGGAGCTGAGGAATGGCACTGGCTGGTGGCAGCTACAGGTCAGGCACCGCGGCCTTGGACACGTTAGAAACAGGAAAATTCTTCCCTGGGTTTATTTTTGCACTGTATCTCGCCCAGGCAGAGAATGAAAACTGCTTCTGTGAGCAAAGTTATGGCTGAGTTCCCATTGCTCCGGGCTCAGTTTGCTGGGATGAGGCGAGTGAATGGCTTATTTCAGCCAAGAGCCTTTTATTTCAGCTTTAAAACAGGGAAACGGCTGGGGGGGGGGGGGGGAGGAGGGAAGTAGATGGTGACTAAGATATAAAAAATTAAAAAAAAATTAAATCTAGAGCTTGCTAATATATAGATTTGGGGGTGGTGGGAACAAATTTAGACCTCATTTTCATAAGGCTGATGGTCACACACTGGTGCCTGACCAACATCTTGAACAGCATAAAACAGACCTGGGAACACTCAAACTGTGCCATGGAATGTCCAGTATCTTGGGATGCACACGGTGGGTGCAGCAGGCAAAGGGGCTATGGAGATGGATGAAATAAACCTCCAGCATAGCCCAAATCCCTGTTAAAATCAGGCTGATCTGTTGTCAAAATGCTCAGGGCTCACCTAGTCCTCCCAAATGAAAATAAAATAAAGGCAGAAAAGGATGAAATAAAAACTGTGGGAATACCAGGGCAGCAAGTTTTAATTTTATTGTAAATATATATAATAAATTATTTAGCAGATTATTTGTCATGCTGGAATCATTTAAGTGCGAGACAGGCTGAGATTATGGTCCTGTTCATTCAAGACTCTGGAGCGTGTCGGAAAAATACAGGCACAGATCATACGCTGCAACAATCTAGGAAAAAAATCCTTTTTTTTTTTTTTGTGTTGCCTTCCTATAGAAAAATATGGTTATTTGAAAGGATTAAAAGATTAAGGGATTACTCAGTAACAAGGGTTAAAAACACAGGGCCAGACACAAAGGGGGTCGATAAAAGCAATAGGAATGATATCCCCCCCCCCCATCCAGCCCTTCTCTCCCAGCCCAAACCCAGTTCCTGGGTCGCTGCCAACTTTCTAAGTGGGATCAGGAAACGGGGAGCAAAGCCTGGGCCCCCACCTAATGCAAAGCGGCCTGTAGCTTTAAGAGGCACGCGGGGGGGGGGGGGGGAGGGGGGTGCACAAAGTAGGGGAAAGGGGGATGCTGTGGAGGGGAACCCTGAGGGGGACAGAGAAAGTGGGGCGGAAGGGGAACGGGATGGAGAAGGGGGGGCGTGAACAGGGGACGCGACAAGGGGTGTCTATGAGGCACGGAGTGTGCGGGGGGGGGGGGGGGGGGGTGGAGATGCCCGAGGGCGTGATCGGGGTACCCAGGGGGAGAATGCTGGGAGGGTTGGGGTGCCACTTGGGGGATGCCGGGGTTGGGGGTGTCGGGGCTCCACACCGGCGCTCTCGGTGTGGGGTTTGGCAACCGTGCCCGGCTCTGCCCGCGGCTCCTCCCCGCGCTGCGGTAGCTCCGCACCGGGGCCGCGTCTCCCCCGCCTTCATCTCCCCCCTCCCCTCCATCCCCATCCTTATCCCTATACACATCGCATCCCCCGCCTCCCCCCGCGCCGGGCAGGGCCGGCCCCGCACCTCCCTCCGCAGCCCCCCCCTACCAGCACCGGTTGCGCTGCGGGCGAGCGGGGCCGGAGCCTTCCTCCTCCTCCCTCCCCACCCCTGCACCGGGAGCGATCCCTCCGCAGCGCCGCCGGTGCCCCGGGCGAGGGGAGGAGGCAGAGGAGGAGGGGGAGGGGGAGGAGGAAGAGGAGGCGGCGGCGATGGGGCCGGGGCGCTGCGGGCTGCGAGGAGGAGCCGAGCCCGGCCGGAGTTGGGCTGCGCTGCGGGGGGGCGGGGGGGGTGTCCGCTTTGCTGCTCCATAGGCGCAGCCCGGCCCTCCCCGCCGTGGGGTTTTGGTTTTTTTGGGTGGTGGTGGTTGTTGTTGGTTTTTTTTCCTTTTTTTCTTTTTTTTTTCCTACAATTTAAAAAAATATATTATTTTTTTCTTGCCCTCCAAAAATAACCCTCTTCCCCCACCTCCCCCCTCCCTGCCCCCCCAGCCCCGCCGCCCCCCGCGGCAGTGCATGAGGCCGGGCCGGGCCCCACGTTCTCCCCCTCCGCAGCCTGGCCGGGTGCGGGCCCCGAGTTGCGGAGCCCGGGACATGGCCCACAGGAGCGCGGCGGAGCCGGAGCGAGCGTGACCGCCCCGGCCGGGGCGGGGAGGGGGCTGCAACGTTATTCGTGGGGTGTTCATCCTGTAATTATTATTTTTGGAGGGGGGGGGCGACGTTTTTCTTCCTCCTCCTCGGTGGCAAACACACGGTTGAGCACAAACTGCCCCCAGCCCACCCTCCCCGCACGGCTTCCCGCAGCAGCCCGTTAATTGCACTTGGCGATGGTAGGTCCCACGACACTTTCGTTTTCTCTTCTACTTTCTTTCTCTTCCTCCTCCTCTCCAACCTCCCCCCTACGCCCCCATTCCCTACCCCCCCCCCCCCCCCCCCGCGTGTGCGTGTCTCTGCGTGTGCACCCACGGGCAAAAGTTGGTTGCTGAGGGGGATACTTTGGGGTAGGGGGTTTGCCGTGTCCCCACCCGCGGTTTGGGGCTGAGGGTGTCGTGGTGCGGGGCGGGATGTGGGGGTCGGGGGGGGGGGGAGGTGTAGTGCGGGGGGAGGCCCCGCAGCCGGCGGAAGGTTGGATGTAGCTGAAAATGGCCGCTAGAAAAGGGGCGGGGAGGCCGCTGGCAGCTCCGACTTGAACTTGGAAGTGACGCTCCGGAGGGGTCGCGGCTCTGCCCGCACCGGGGAAGGGGGGGGCGCAGATACCACCACCCCCCTCCGCAGTTACCATCCCCGATATTAGAATGAGCCCACCCCCGCCGCAATGGGCTTTTTCTGCCTCATTTCCTCCACCCCCTCGCAACGGCTCCATCCCTCCAGCACGGAGTCGGGGGAGTGCGGGGGGGTCCCGGACCGGGCGGTGAAGTTGGTATGGTTCTTAATGAGGTTTGAGGGAGGGAACCCCCAACCCTCCCTTCATTCCCCGGTGGAGATTCGGGGCCGGCGAAAGTTGCGAGCGGGACTGAGTTGTGCAGGAAAGGAGCTCCGGGGGGGCGGGGAAAAAAATCCTTTGCGCCCCCCCCCCTCCCCCCCCCCCGGTGCAAGGACCCGTCAGACCCCCCCCCCCAAGGTGTGTGTTTGGGGCGGGGGCTCCGCGTCCTGCGGGGGATTCCCTTTGTTTTTCCGTAATTAGCTCTAAAGCCGCGGAAGTGCGCGGTACAGCGGGAACCTGCGACTCGGACCCGTTTCGTGCGCTTGTTATTGGGAGGGGGTGGTGGATGCGGGCTGCCCCCACTGCAGCCCCCTCCCCGTGCCGGGGCCAAGGTTACCCATCAATCTGCAGCCTTTTGCCGCGTTGGCTCCGTTAGTTAGATATTAGAAAAGCACCAAAACACCCAAGAGTCGGGGGGTGTCCCCCCGCGGGGAGGGAGGTGTCACCCTTGGGGAAGGAGGGGAGGGGGTCACCCCTCCCTCCCCTGCTCCGCAGCGCCTTTAGGCCTGCGAGCCAAAGGGGGTTCCTACATCTTTAAATGGGATGTAATATTTTGGGATGGGCTTTTTTCATCACGTCACTTCATTCCTCGCTCTTTTTTTTTTTCTCTTCTTCTTCGCCTCGTTTTTTTATTTTATTTTATTTTTTTTTTCCTCTCTTTTTTTTTCCTCCCTTTCCCGCTGTCCTCCCCTCCTTCCCTCCCTCCTTCTCTCCCACTCTCAGATGGGGCCGCGGCCCCGTTGACTCCTACCCGCAGCCAGAGCGTGGACTCCCCCCCGACCCTCCCTTTAGCCAGCGTGAGCCTTTGGCCTTTTTTAATCCCACCACCCTCCCCCAAAACCATCAACACCCCCACCCCAGAAAAAAAGAAAACGTTTTATTTCCCAAAACGGGTGAGGAAATTTGCTTTTATATATATATACATAATTTTTAATTGTTTTATTATTTTTCCTCCCGGCGGGTGGAAGTTGGACCCGGGTTATATCCTCCTCGCCCCCCCTCCCCAGCCCCGTTGCCCCCCCCCCCGGGCCCCGCAGAGCCGCTCGGAAGGAGAAAGGGAGGAAAAAAAAAACGCCCGGACTGCTCCAGCCTCCGAAATGACTCAGTAACTTTTACGCCTCGAGTCTCAGCCCTGCAATTAGCCACTTGCCCAGCGCGGCTCGGGATGTATTCGTCTCCTCTCTGCCTGACCCAGGTAACCGGACCCCCCGTGTCCCGTGTCCTCCCCCAATTATCCCCCCTTCACCGCAACAGACTTTTACAGTTGCAACGCAAAAAAAAAAAAAAAAAAAATGGAAAAGAGGAGAAAAAAATATCAAACACCCCCCACCATAAAAATAACTATAGAGCAGAGCAGCCGCGTTTCTCTCCTGCTCCCCCCCCCTCCCCCCCCCCGCCGCGTTTTTACCCTTTTTTTTTTTTTTTTTGGGTGTTTCTGGTGCTTTTTAGGGGTTTTCTGCCTCCGGTTTCACTTGGGGTGGGGTTGGGAGGGGAGGTTGCATTGTGGTTTGGGTGTTTGGGGGGTTTGGTTTATTTTGTTGCTGTGCCTGGAGGTTGTGGGGTCCAGCTGGTGGCTTTGAGGGTGCGGGGGGGATCCCCTCTTTAGGGTCGGCGGGAGGCTCGGTGCTGTGGATTCAGCCTCAACAACAACACCACTTGTGTCGGTAGAAACTTTTTCTTCCCCCTCCCCCCCCCAGCTGGCTGCACATGGTGGGGTGCAAGGAGGTGGGTTTTGGGGTGGCTTTTCTTTCAAAATCCTCCAAGTTTGGGACAACTTGGAAGCAGTTGTGCCATGCACTGGCGGCTGAGAGATGGGGGGGATTGTGCGTGGCAGGATGTGGGGGGCACCCCCTTAGTCTTGGGGGGGGGGAATGTTGGTGTCAAAGGACAGCCCCGAGCCAAGTGTGTGGGGACGCCAGTGTCACTCGAGTCCACGCCAGCGTGGCCAGTGGTGTGGGCAAGAAGGGGGTGTCCACAAAGGCTCCCCCAGCAGCCAGTGCGAGGCTTTGGGGACCCCCACTTGCCCACTGCGGCTCCGTCTTTGCTCTGTCCTTATCGATCACTGATATTTATTTAATTATTGAGCAGGCAGCTAATCCCGGCACCCCCCCCCCCGGAACCTCTTCCCTGCTCTAAACCAGCCTCCTGCCACACCAGGGGTGGCCACTGCTGGTGGAGCCCCCCCATGCCAGGGGTTCTCCTGCCAGAGGGCCCTGATACCATGGGCCAGGGTCCAGCCCCACCTGAGGAGGCCTGTACCTGGGGAGTTAAGGGGTCTCCTGGGTAGCCCCATGGCCCCTGTGTGGTGCCTGACATCCACAGGGCTCCAGCCTTGGCCCCATCTCTCCCTGGGTGCAGCGCAGCACATGGGGCTGGGGATGGTACTGGCATAAGCATGGGCAGGGGCAGAGGTGGGCAGCACAGGGGCTGTTCACAGCACCCTGGGGTGCTGCTGCCCAGCCTAGGGTTCACTTGGCAAAGGGTCACACCTCAATCCTTTCTTCTTTCTTTTTCCTTTTCTTTTTCTGTTTCTTTTTTTTTCTTTTTCTTTTTTGTCTATTTCTCTTCTTCGTCTTCTTTTTCTTCTTTCTCTTCTTCTCTTTTTTCTTTTTCCTTTCCTTTCCCTTTTGTCTTTTCTCTTTTATCTCTTTCTTTTCCTTTCCTTTTTTTCTTTTATTTTTTCCTTTCCCTTTTTTATTTTCTCTTTTCTCCTTTCCTCTCTTTTCTCTTTTTTTTTTTCCTTCTCTCTTCTTCCACCATGACTCCATCCCTTCCTGGGGTCCCTCAACCCCCCTCTCCACCGGCGCTGAGCCCTGATTGCCTGCTCGCTGCTCTGGGCTGCAGTGGGAGCCGCTGGCTGCACGGCCGGGGCAGTTCCACTCCCAGATCTGGGATCCCAGAGCTATTCTCAGCACTTTGCCCGGCCGACGGCAGCGAGTGGGATTTTCCTCCACAGATCCCAGCCTCTGCCCCGATGCCTGCATGAGGGGAAGGCTCCCGTTTCCCCCTCCGTTGCCCTTGCGTAGCCTCAGCTTCGATTCCACTGGGCTCAGATGGGTTCAGACGTCGTCTGCACCTACCGGATCCAGCCCTGCTGTTCCCATCTCAGCTCCTTGGGGAGGATTGCTTGGGCTCGGGAGCTGCAGATGGTGATGTGGATACATTGGAACGTGCGCGGGAGCCGCCCTTGCCTCGGCCTTCACGCATCTCCTGAGCTGCCACCACTGGCCCCTCAAGCACGGCACAGCCACTTGCACCCCGGCTGCATTTAGGGGCAGCCACCCTTCCCAGCCGAAACTGGTCCAAGCTGGGACTGGGCAGCCCAGTGGGACCAAAATAGCCCTGGCAAAGGCATCAGCCGGGACATGCTCCCATTGGGGCCTTGGCCAAGTCTCCCATCAGGCAAGGAGGTCACTTTGTGCTTTCCTGGGTGCTCTGTCCCTGCCTGGGGACTTCCTGGCTCACCTCCATCCCTGCTCAGGGACAGGCCGGGAGCTCTCTGGATTAGCAGGGAAGTGGTACCAGAGCCACTGCCACAAGACAAAATAACCCTGACGTTAAGGACCTGCCATGCATGTGTCCCTCGGGAGGTGCTGCTGCGGTGTTCCCAGAGTCGTAACAGTTATCCCAGCTCCTGGAGCTGCGCTGGGGTTGGGGCGGGGCAGGGTTTGGGTTGCTCCTGGGGAGGTAGATGTGCAAATGTGATGACCAGTGATGCTTATGCAAACCTTTCTCTCATCAACTCTGGTACCTACGGCTGGGGGCGAGGTGAGGTGGGAGCCAGTGTTCAAGGCAACCAGAGCAATGGGAGCTGGTTGTCCTGCTGGGATCCAGCTGGAGACCCTCTCCCAAGCCCCACAGGTCTGCTGGGACTGGGAGAGGGAAGTTGGCTCTGCCCATCACCACTGGCTCAGGCACGTGGCAGGAGCAGGGATCATCCTTTGGCGAATCTCCTTCCCAAAAACGCAAGCACAGGGAACACCAGTGCTCACCCCCTCTACCAGTAGCTCCATCGAACTGGCTTCCATCCAGGAGCTCAGATTGGCTGCCAATGGATGGGAGCAGTGAGCTGGGCATGGTGGGGGGGAGAGAGATGGAAGGTTGCAACACAACTTTCAATTCTCCCATCTGCTGAGTATTGTTTGGGAAAAACAATGAAGCTGTTCTTTAAGCACAACCTTCAGGAGAGCCCTGCTTGTGCCTGCCAGGCCAGGCCAGACCCTGCTCGAGCTAATCCCAAATTCTCACCATAAACCAGATCCTGTTTTAGGCATGATGCATGGGGCTGGGATGGGCACGTGGCATGACCTGCTGCAGGAGAGATGCAGTCGGGTGAGAGCCGAGCGAGCGGCCGGAGCGAGTGCTGCACCACTCTCCACCGCATCACCTTGAACTTGGCTGGGGCCTCGTGCAGTAAATCAGCCACCCTTCTCCAGCGCTCCAATAATTCACCTTCCTGGGCAGCTCTGGCCCTGCTTGTGCTTCTCTCCCTGCCCACGGTTCCCTGCCTCCCTTCCTGCCTTTCCCTCTGTTACTGGGGCAGAGAGCAAACCCACCGTGTGCCCAGCGCTGCATGCGCACGCTTCTGCAGCTCACTGAACAAAGCCCAGCTTGCTGCCCGCCCACCTTGAAGCAATAGGGAAGAGTTCCCTTTGGGGCTGTTTTTTTTATTCCCTCGATCCTGGGTGGGCTGGGGGTGGATGCTGGGATTGGCACATGACCTGAGCCTGCTTTGACCCACCGGTTTTAACCCCTCTCATGGCAGCTTGGCTAGTGTGGTGGGGTGTGGACGGGGCATGGTAAGGCTCAGTGGGAGAGGAGCTGGCCACATTCTCCTTGGAAAGGTGCAGAAAATAGCATGGAAGGTGGCTCCCCCAGGAGCCCTGGGAGCTTGGGAACCCCAGGTGAAAACTGCCACGGTGGCAGCCGAAGATTCATCCTGGCTCGGGACTATGCGCGGCAGAGAGAGTCTGGAGCTTTGTTTGGCACGTAGTGGGAGAGGAGAGGATGGTGTCCTCTGCCTTGGGGTGATGGAGGCAGGCTCCTGCAGGGGAGGGCTTTCCAGGACCACTTGTCGTGCCTGCTTGACAGCTTTTCAGTACTGCCTGTACCAGCCTTCCCGTGCCCGGTCTCTGGACACTTCCCTGCACTCCAAGGGGTACCCATTGTCCCCTGTCTTCCACGTCATGGCTGTGCTTGTCGTAGGGCAAGCCAAGCTCTGGATGGTAGGATAAGAATGGTGGTGGCACTGACATGGAGTTGGAGGGGAAGAAGGAGGGCTTGGAAGGAGATAAAATATCTCCCTGTGAGGCCGGAATCCTGTCCGTGCCATGGCTCTTGGTGCACCAGGGTGGCAGCATCATCACCGAGTGCTACCAAGGGGCTGAGTGCTGGTGGGAGGAGGCCAGGGGGCTCCCGTGCCCCTCAGTCCCTGCAGCTGAGCTGGGTGCTGCAGGCAGGGCTTTGGGGTGCCCAGGACACCATCTGTTCCTTGGGGACCCCCAGGGAAGTGCTTCCTCCAGTGTCACCTTGGGCTGTGCTGGGCCGGTTGGGGCAGGGTGGTGAAAGTGATGGGGAGTGGCTGGAGCATCAATGGGTGCCTGTCTCTGCCACATGGCATTGCCAGTGATGTCCCCACAGCACCGTGGGGCTGAGCCCCAGTGGGGCACTGCCTAGTGCCAAACTCTGGTACCAAAGAATCATTGGAAGCTTTGGGTGCGCCAGATCGGCACAGGCAAGAACTCAGCTTCCCTCCCTGGCTCTTTGAGTGTCACCTGATGAGATGGTGTCACCCTCTGGAAGCAGACAGAGACCCCTGCGCAGGGTATCCCAGGGCCTGCCTGTCTGTCATGTGGGCCCCAGGCAGGCATCCCCATGGCTGCACTGCACTGTGCCAGCTTGGCCTGGACCCAGTGCTGGCCGCCAAGGCTCGGCGCTTCCCAAGTCCTGGAGAGGAGCTGGGAAAGGATCCCATGGCCCAGGTGAGACAGTGCTCCTGTGCCAGGGGACCCACAGGCCAGCCCCTGCCAAGGATTGATTTCCCGGTTAACTTGCCACTGCTTGGAAAGCACATCCATCCTACTTCCCTGGCCAGCAGCCAACTTGGAGCAGCATTTTGGGTGAAATCCTCAGGTCTGGGCTTCGGGCTGCCCACCATGGGCACAGTTCTCCCCTAGGCAGCACCGCCTGGCACGG